TCTCATGTCATGTCCTCTCTTCTTTTTCAAGCCATCACTACCTTAGGTCCATTAATTTCAGTGGGTCTACTCTGAGTCAAACATAGTTGAAGGCAACCCTATGATTAGAAAAAATAAGAATCTGAGAGAAACTGAAATTGGCAGTTTCACCCATCCCTACTTCCAAATAAATGCACACAAGACTAGTATAAAACCATAGTATAAAACTATATAAAGAGCAAACATTGCTTTCTGGCCTATACAGTATTAGACTATAATGAAGGGTCCCATTTCTGAATGCTCCCTCAATGAAAGTCCTTCCATATAGGAAATTACTTGTGGTATCATAACTACAACTTTCCTTATTTCCCAGGCATGGTCCCTTCTGATCTTATTGTTCTCTGTAAATCACTGTTTCTATTTTGCCCTATTTAGGACATAATTTAGGAGCAAACAATAATAACCTGTTAGTCAAAATAAGCTGCAAGGATCCAATTAAAAAGCCCAGTCTGAACTTAAATTGGCAATTTCCTGTAGGACGGTTTGGCCCAAATATTGTAGCAAACAAGAGTAAATCTATGATACAATTTAAGATGGCTATGGTGGACCTTAGACTGTCATAACTAGCTCTTGTCCAGTCTGGTACTCCGTTGTGGCAACATGGACTCTCCATAGACCCAATTATGGATATATTTTTATTTATGACAGTCCTGTTGCTATCCTAATTTAAGTATGGTTAGAGGGGAGGCAAGATTTTGCTCTGAGGGAGGAGACGACCTTGGCTAGGCTGGATACTTCCTGTTCCTCCCTTGTCTTGCATCCAAAACCACCTTTTCGCTTCCTCTGATGCTGGTGTCACTATGACTCCATAGAACTTGAACTGCCTTTCACCACTGCCATCACAACTGCCCTCTTATAGGCTGCTGTCATACACCAGTACAAAGAAATGAATGAGCTCACCCTAGTACCTGAATTCAAGCAAGTGTGTGTGTGTTTTTACAAGATGCAAGCATTATCCAGCTCCTTCTGAAACCACATTAGCATTTCCTTTTTTAAAAAAAAAGGAAAGAAAAAAGAAAACGTTTTCCAGGATGCTTTCTAACTACTTCATTGACTTGCAGAGTCACAGGGACAATGTGAACAGATCTGTCCTGGCAGCCTTTTCTGAAGCACCTGTTCTTGCTACACTGACTCCTCCCTAAGACATGCATTTTTGCCAGGAATCTGAAGAGCTGTACAGAGTTTCTGCCAAGCCTAAAAAACCTTCTTCTCCCCACTCTATTACACATACACAATTTGTTTTATCAACCAGCATGTAGTTTAGTCTGCCTAAACCCTGCTCTGGTACACTGCTACAAGTCTCCATGGAAACACTTATGTCTTCGTCAGCTAGAAGTTTGGATCCAATTCTTCCTCTTTTGGCTCTTCAGGAGCATGGCAGTGTTTACTAAAGAGATGCTGGCAGGGCTGGTAGTTGACCGAAGGACTTGGCCCTTCACAGACCACAGTGTGCTTCTCAGCATTGTGGACAAGACATGTTTAAAACAAAAAATAGACTCTTAGTATTGGAAATTCTGTTAATCTTCCACTTTATATGCTGTTCTCTAGTGTTTACACGTTGTGGGAAAAGTTACACTCTGCCCCAGTTTCAGTTCAGCTTGCAACTAACTCCAATTCTGAAGCTATGATTAAAAATAAAATGTAGATAATTCAGAATTTGACACTGAATTAGCACAAAGAGTCTGCCTACTAGGAGCTTATTCACACCATCAACAATTAAGAGACTGTGTTATCTTTGAGTCACTAGAATAATTTGTTACTACGGCTGGATCAGATTCATGCTTCATTTAACAGAGTGAGTTTAAAACACATATCTATTGATATGCTGTAAAAAATTCAGGGCTCGCCTCCACTTCTGCTTGTCCCATGCCTAGAAAGTAAGAGTTGGAGTGGTTTTCCAGCTCAGCCAGAGGTCCATCTATTCCACACTTCGCTCATCCTGACAGAACTTGGGTTTGGATTGTTCCCTGTGTCTTGTCCCAACCCCTTGACTGTGAAAGCAAACCCAGCAGTAGAGCTAATCCAAAACGTACTTATTAATTTTCACTTCAGCCAAAATCACACTTGTTATTCACACTTACAGATGCACCTTCTCAATTCTACCCTCTTTGCTCCCACACCAGTATTTATAGTACGCTGAGAAATCACAGCATTTATGATTAAGAGAACAATACAATCTCATGCATCACAGTACATTAGAAGCACGTGGAAGAGCACACAAATGAGCTTTGAAAGTATTCCCATTTTCAGAAAAATGCAAACTCTCAATGGCAGTGGCCTCTAAACTGATCCACAACACAAAGAAAGGAGCAACATTAAAAATCTTCCAGTGAACTTTCAGCTGTCCATCTGCAGGATTTTCCAATCTAAAATTATTCAAGTAAAACTGCAACTCTCCCAGCACTTTTTTAACATGCAAAGTTTTTCGTGGCTTTCCATTCCCAACATAGTACCTAAACTAGACATGAATAAATGGACTTAGCTAAAATCTCTAACCCTCGTTCTTGATTTTTATTTTATTTTTGACTTTCAGTGGGAGTTATAGGCTAACTACTTAGAATGACATTCAGAGAGAAAAAAGCAGAGTTTTCCATATCAATCCATATCTATAAAACCTTTTCCATCTCAGCATTCAGGGCCAGCTTTACTAGGAAACAATATGAAGCAGTTACAGCATAGTTCGGAAGAGAAGCCATTTTCCTGCATCATTTCACCTTCAGGTGTAAAAAGCAAAAGTGGAGGTAGTATCACCTCCATGCCTTTTGAGGTCCATGTAAATGCTTTCACCACTTGGTTGCTCCACCAGCATGTTTAGCATACCATGCAAGTAATTCACCCCCCAAAGGAAGTGGCAGCACTTATGTGGAGTATTAAACATATTGGTCAAACCACCACATGGATGGATGCCTTTGCACAGCCACTCACCCTACAGCTATCTGGATCTGCAGTATAAAGGGACCCGCACTACCAGAACAGATCTAGAGAGGGCACCACTTTTATCATACAGCTTTTTTACCTTTCTGTAAAGCGGGAGGGGGGTGTAACCTGCAGCCCTCCAGATGTGTGAGATTACTGCAGTACTCTTCATCATCCTTGATCATGTTGGCTGAGGCCGATAAGAGCTGTATTCCAACAACATATGGAGGGCCACATAATCCCCAACTTGGCAGTAAATGTCACTCAGAGATCACAACCTTTGCCTGTTATTATCTGGACATAATGAGTATGGGCATATATACTAGACATGCCATTTTCAAGCTATTTTCAGGAGTAGCCAATGCGGAGCCCCAGCCAACATGGTCAATGATCAGGGATGATGGGGATCATAGTTCAATAACATTTGGAGGGCACCACGTTGGCCACTATCACTATGGGTCAAACTGCAACCATGAGTGTCACAAAAGTCTTGGGATGAGCCTCTCAAGTAATTGTTCTGGGATAACAGTGCAGCACAAGGAGCTAGGGGACTACTGAGATCCATTTCAAGCCGCTAAGGGGGATGCTAAGCACAGAATTGTCTTGTAAGTGTCCAGAAGAAAAAGTTTCAAAACTGTTGCAATAGACTCTGAGAGACCAAGTATGGCTATATGTGGTCAGTTAATAGCACCATATCAGACAGAGGAGGAGTGCACTGTTACTCCACTGGTTGACTGTAAAAAGTCAGGGTGCTTATGAACTACATTTTTCAGAAGGAAAACTACGCAATGCATTTACAAATGAGCCATTTTAACTTGTTCCTCTCTCCCTTGTGACAACTGTGCATATATACAGAATACACATAGTGATTTCAGAAAGCCAAGGACCACACTTCTTTTGTTTTGATTCCCTGAAAACACGACACAGTTTATGAACCTGCCCAGTTCAAAGCACACTGAACAGAAAGCCTGCAATGTCTTTTCCTTGACACTGCGTTCAACATTATGAGAATGAGGAGCCCATAAATACAGTTGTGACTAATTGCTGTGAATAACACTATTTTCAAGTTGCTGGGCACAGGCCCTTCGAGCAGGAGAATTTGTCCCGTGTTCTTGTTTTAGTATTTGCTTGACACTAACCCAGCTACTTGAGCAAGTATAAAGGACATTTTGGCTGCACACACACCTTCAGTTTTGTTTTTGTCTGTGTAGGAAAGAAGCCAGTTTCACAGTCTGTTACTATAGCCTATAAATCCATGTTGTACTTTTCCTCCCACCCTAGAAGACTCTGTGATTATAAGAAGCATTGTTTTTTAAATACTTATCTACAATATTTCTTCAAGAATATGCCAACACAGAGAGAAGTGTAAACATACATCACTGAAATCTAGATCAGTTCTCCCCTTTATTTTTAACTGCATTTCATAGTTTAATTGAAGTCAGGTTGGGTAGAACATCAAAGGATTGGCACATCCGGAAGTGCATTATTCGCTGTTCCTTCTCTGGAACTGGTGAAATCCATCAAATGTGCTAGGCTCCCTCTGGTATGCTCTGAAGCTGCTTTCCTTCCTAATTCTTCCGGAAACTGAGCCCTGACATAATCAGCTCACACTGGATCAGAGAACTTTCTGAATATCACTAAACTTCATAACACCACAAGCAACCGTGAACTCCACTAGTACAATGTTTAAGAAAGAGAGCATACAAGAGAGGAGGGAGAAAAGGAAACGCAACGGGGAGGTTTGGCTTAGAATTTTGCAAAACTGCTTAGCTCTCTTGCAAAGCAAGTCTGTGTCACTGAGAGATCCGACAGCACGTCCCAGTCAAATGGCTTTGCACTGAGACTCCACCAGTTCAGTACTGTGCAGTGCTTAAAGTTAAAACGATGGGCATCAACACACAGGCACACCTGCGTGCGTTTTCCAAAAGCAACCACCGGTTCTTCAAATCTATGGCACCAGGGAGGTTAAGAAGCCCCCAGGAGCCAATAATGCTGCCCGTTAGGGGGGGGCGGCAGGACGACTGCAGAGGAAACTGTACACTTACCAATGTCAGAGTTGCAGAAAGCATCCTGAGGGTGAATTGGGACGCAGGTACAAGCTTCCAACATCAAGTCACTCAGGCTCCAGCTGCAGAGCACCACGAGAAGGCTCAGCACGCACCTGGACATGCTGCCGATGCTCCTGACCGAACAGTTACTCTCTCGCACGGACCGGGGAAAGGGTGGAGGGTCTCTACAAAACTGTTGCGTTTTCTGCAGCTCCCTGCCTCCCTCTTCTACTTTGCGGCGGCAGCGGCGAAGAAGAGACTGCACGCTGGATCTTGCGGGACTTTCTGTTGCTGCGTTTCCTTCCACCCCTTCTCAACAGAAATTCGATTCTCTCCTGCACGAGTTCGAACCCCGCTGAGCGCCTCTCTCTGCCTTCTCCGCTCTCGGCTGCTGCGGGGAGTTATAGCCTTGATCGCGCCCCTCTCGGGCTCTTGGGGTGCCGCCCCCCGGACCAATCGGAGCCCCGCATTACCTCATCCCTCAGGAAAAGGGGAGCGGCTACCAAAAAAAAAAAAAAAAAAAAGCACCACCACTCAACCTCGCTGGAGGCGGGGTCGCAGCAAGGCATTCAGCTCCATATAGGGAATAATGTGTGCGTTCACTGTATGCGCTGGCTGGGGGGCTGCGAACGGGATTTCTGGCGAGAGGAGCCGCCTGGTGCGCGCGGAAAAGGAACGGGGAGGAGGAGAATAGGTTAACCGGGACGTGCTTCTTGCTACCTGCCGCTGCAAAGGAGCCTCCGGCCACCGCCGCCTCATCCCCACCCAACAGGTCGCCAAGAACTGCTGGAAGGAGAGGGCACTGCCAAGAGGCAGCAGGGCTGACTGCGCGTCCCAAAGACCGAACTAAGTGGGCACAGGACTGCTCCTAGGAGTGCCAGCTTGGCCCGCGACCGTGGGTGCCTGGGGCTGTGAGGGCCAGGCAGCATGCATGCCCTGGCACCGAAATTCGTGGGTGCCTGGCTCCTTCATGGAGAATTTTGTGGGTGCTCGGGCACCCAGGGCCCCAGGGAGTCAGCACCTATGACTGCTCCCATAACTAGTCCACAGTGCTGCCCATCCCATCCCATATGACATGCTTTGCAAGCCACCCTGGGACATAAGAGCCAAATCCTAGGGGCCAAGGTCCCTTCATCATTATCCCCCCAGTGTAAAATATTTAAGGGGGTCCCAGCCAAGTTGATGGACATTGACATTCAAATAGTCAATAGCATCTTGTGATTGAATATGTGGAGTGGGACCCACCTCCCCAGCAATATTTTCAGATTGGCCCCCCGTGTTCTGGGAGGCTCTGCATTTAAAGAAAATCATTGTAAAGAGATTGTTTATCACTTCTTGTTTGGCACCGTGGGTCCCATTGGGGAGGAAGGTGGGATATTAATCAATAAACAGATAAATAGCTTTTGAATGCCAGTTGCTGGGACTCACAAGTGGTTGAGAGTGCTTCTCATGTCCTGCTTGGAACTCACTCCCCCAGAAGGCAATGGCAGCCACCAACTTGTAGGACTTTAAAGGAGGATTAGATAAAGCCATGGATTGCAAGGTTACCGACGTATACTGCCCACAAGGGCAGCTTTCTGCCTCCACTGTCAGAGGCCCTGTGCTTCTGAATACCAGTGGCTGGGAATCACAAGTGGGCAGCATACTGCTGAGCTCATGTCTCACTTGTGGGCTTCCTGCAGGCACCTGTGTTATGTACTAAGCTTGGATCCTAGAACAATAGGCAAGTAGGATCCTAGAATGCAACAACTGATTGGTCTTCTCCTGCAACACCAATCAGGCTCCAGGAGGGAAGCAGGATCAGCCAATCAGATGGAACTCATTGTGTAAATAATGTATATAAAAGCCTGAGGTTTGGGGGGCAATTAAATCACTGTTTTACAAGCTGCAATGAAGAGCATGAAATCACTACATGACTCCGAGTATATTTCAACCTGGCTGGCCACTGTGAGAACAGGATGCTTGGCTGGACAGGCCATTGGCCTGATCCAAGGGGGCTTTTCTTACATTCTTATGGGGGTTGGAGGGAGCACCTGTCTAATTTTGTTAATTTTCCTACCAAACCTATTCTAGCAATCCAAGTCTATGATTTTCTTTTCTTTTCTTTTTTAAAGAAAAACTCAAGTGGGAATCCCCCATTCATGGTGGATGTTTCACACACCAGGCTTTGACTTAGTTTCCTTCGTGTGGAAACTGGATCCTGTCAAAACTGGGCTAATGCAGGTCATCTGAGTCAAACCTGGTTTTCTGCATGTTTATCACACCTTTGATTATAAAACAGGCTGGAAGCCACAAGAAGAATGGTATATGCTATGTACCAACTTTGGTTCTTTTCGTGTAAGTTTAACTCTCGTGTTTTCTCCTAAAGCATCCTGGGGACTGAAATATAGTGAATATGCAAATAATTCTGCTTTGCGATACCTATGACAACCTTACAGCTCAAGGAGTGCCTTGAGAAAATAGCTAAATCCTAACTGTGTGGATATGTTCATGGGGTGCAAGCTAATTCTGAATTAGAGATAGTAGAAAGGAATTCCATTTTAAGTGCCTTTTTATCTTTTTATGTAAGGAAAAAGTGCAGCAACACATTAATGTCACATTTCTTTCCTCAATAAACAAATGTGCTAGTGGGGAAATGATGGCATGTTGTCTTGGCACTGGAAAACCATTATTTGATGTTGAGTTGTGTAATGCTCAAAAAAGTTCCACTCAAAGCCTCCCTGTCACTATGAGTTTATAAAGTCAGCTGTTTAGAACTGAGTTTGGAAAAGCCCCATCATCTTCCGACTCTTAATATTGGTGCATATTTCAGCAATTGCAATACTCTCTGCAATTTATGGGGAGGAATTGTTTGTATTCTTTTGCTCCGTTCCCCTGTGGGATCATATGGCAGAGACAGAATCACAGCAAAGGAAACTGTCAGATGCAAGATGTAACAAGGCAACCTTATTATCCTGGAAAGACAGGGCAGGGTGATTAATCACTGTGTGTGATGTCAGAACTCTATTATTGGGATTTAGAAGATTTAGGCAATGCTAGCCCTACATTGTGCTGCTAAAACTGGGGTCACCAACCTTTTATGGCCCACGAGCACATGCGCAAACTCGAGAAACTGCCATAGGCACCACATACTCAAGACCACACATACCCAAGACCACAACTGAAGTCTGATGGCAGCGCAGGGGGCTTTTTTCTTTTCTTTATTGAGGGGAGACGTTCACAGCTGCATTATCGCAGCATCACCCAAAATGCCACAATTAGGATTTAAGTTTAATATTGTATATGTGTGATATTATAGGCTTTAATATTGTATTTTTACATTGTTCTGACCTGCATTTGGGACACGGGTGGTGCTGTGGGTTAAACCACAGAGCCTAGGGCTTGCCAATCAGAAGGTCGGCAGTTCGAATCCCCTCAACGGGGTGAGCTCCCATTGCTCGGTCCCAGCTCCTGCTCACCTAGCAGTTCAAAAGCACGAAGTGCAAATAGATAAAGAGGTACTGCTCTGGTGGGAAGGTAAATGCTGTTTCTATGCACTGCTCTGGTTCGCCAGAAGCGGCTTAGTCATGCTGGCCACATGACCCGGAAGCTGTACGCCGGCTCCCTCGGCCAATAAAGTGAGATGAGCGCCGCAACCCCAGAGTCGTCCATGACTGGACCTAAAGTTCAGGGGTCCCTTTACCTTTAACCTGCATTTGGAATTTACAGTGAATGTAAGAAATCTAATAAACCTTAATGAAAATGAGACCAGTCCTTTGAAACCGGCATGATAAGGTGTGTGCTTGATATTGCTCCAGAGGTGCCAGGGTGTGCAGTGAGGGAGCATATAAATTTTTCAGCCTGCCCCAATCTATTAGCTATGGTAACAACAAGAAAAGCTAGCATTATATCCACACTTAATGTTTTGCAATAGGGGCAGGATCAGTAGAGAACAAAATTGAAATTCCCTCTCTGTGTTACCTTTGTGTGTAGACTTTGAATCAATTGCTTAACTCCCAGATCAATTTTCCCCTCTCCAACCTCCTTCGGGAGGATGGAGAAAGCCTGTAATTAGAGTGTACCATGTCACATGAAATATATCCTTTGTAAGAAAATTAAAATAGTGCTGTATCATCAAATAATGAAGCCCTAGTTATCTTTGTTCCTTGCTCGGATGAGGCTAAGAGGTTGCACCCCAGGATAAGGTAACCCATAGTGCATAATGAGCTCTTATCTGGCATGCTTAGACTATAATCTGAAACAAGCCTTATATAATTAATTGAAAACTCTCTAGTGCAGTTGTTGGGGGGTATATATGCTTTGCTATGAAATTGTGCAGAGGACATGAAACCTCAGAAGTTGTGGGGTATTTTTCCCAGGAGGCCACACTTGCCTACTGTGTGCTAGGTGCCTGCCCAAGCCCTTTAGAACAATCATAAGCATGTTTACTCAGTCTCCTGCCAAGCTCAGTGAGGCTCCCTTCCAAGTAAGTGTGCTTAAGACAGCTGCCTCAATAATACCCAGTATTTACGTATGTAGTACTTATAACATTCAAAGTGCTTCCCATACACTATATTAGATCACACCCACACCATACATTTAAAGCTCTATTCAACTACTTTAACAGTCAATGTAGAAATCTAGGAACTGTAATTTGTTAAGGGTGTTATCCTCACAGAGCTAAAATTCCCAGCACCCTTAACAAACTACAGTTCCCAGGATTTTCCATGGCAATTAAAGTGGTATAATAGTGCTTTCAGTATACGGTGGTAGTGGATGTGAATTTATTAATCCTTTAACCCATTCACCCTGGCAAGGGAGACCAGCATTATATTATTATATTACAGATGAGAGCAGAATACACTTGCCTGCCTATGGCCACCTAGTGGGTTCATAGTGGAGATGAAATTTTTGAATTGTAGACTTTTCCATTCACAGCTCTATCTATGCTATGTTGTAATTGGTACACAGATAAACATAGAGTAAGAAATATGTGCACCTTGCAACTCTCAAAAGGTGATAAGTTATTTCTGAAGTAGACTGCCAACACTACCAGAGCAGAAGTTTCCTTTAGAACATATTTCCCTTCCCAAGTCAGTTTGGAATGTGTCTGAGAATTATGCTAGAGGGCACTGTGTTCCAAGAGACTGGGGCTTTGGGGATTTATTGGAGAGAAGAAGAAAATATGTTGCTCGTCATTTGAGATCATTAAAGATTCAATTGATCTTTTATTTGTATGGCTCGGGTTTCCAGCGCTTCTCGAGGTCTGCCTTTGCTACATTCCAATTAAGATCCCTCTGTTCTCCATCTGTCAAATTCCCAAGTCCATCTTGGTTGTTCACTCCTGACTTCTCTTCCCAGCAAGGAATATCTGAGATGCCATTCCCAAAAGATGCCTGAAGAGGGTGAACTGTCTCTAGACAGGAGCTAAAGGCTCTGGTATCTTCAAGGACACTATTACTCAATTTGTAAATG